TCTGTCTTAGCTCTACCTGGAGATGCCAGGAATTAAACCTGGAATTTTCTTCTACCTTCCTTCATTTTTAAATCTGTGAATGTGATGCGGGGCAGAGAGGAGAAGGAAAAGAAGGGAAAGCATACCAGAAAAACCCAATTGCCTGATGTATGAATTATATTTCACCAACCCAGATTTAAATGTATGAATTATACATAAATTATTGTACATAGACGTATTTGTGTCACAAGGGTTCAGACTGAGTGTTTCCAGATTTCCTGGTGGGAACCTTCTCAGGCGAAACTGAGGGAAATACAAGGGAAAAACAAAACAAAACCCTGAAACATCATTCTGGATTCACAAAATGAAGAAGAATAAGATTTTCTCTGCCCACAGAGAATGAGCTGGTTGTGCCAAGTGTGGGTGTTCAATAGGCACGGTGTTTATTGAGGCTGGAAACTGAAGAGGTGGTGGTGAGTGAATTCACTCACACACATACTTTTCCAATTTGTTCCTTTTAGTTGTACAATATGCAGAATATGATCCCCTCCCCGTTAGATCTTTTATCAAGCTGCTTTGGGATGTTTTTATTCTGTTTGCAAAAGGTGGGGCAGAAATCCCCCAAATAAGTGAGTTAATCAGTTCTGACCCCACTCCTTTTCCAAGTCTGCTCATGATCGTCGTTGGAAGATGCAGGCAATATGGCACCCTCCAAATGCTGGACAACAATTCTTGTGGCCTGTGGTGGCTGGGGCTGATGGATGTGGTGGTCAAGGGGTCGCCAACCTCTTTGGACCAGTGGGTGCATTTCAAAAGTGCTGGGGGTACTTGTCACAAAATAGCTGCTATTTGGGGCATGGCATAATATCAAACAGATCGTGAAGCTGAGGCTCCAATATTTTGGCCACCTCATGAGAAGAGAAGACTCCCTGGAAAAGGCCCTGATGTTGGGAAAGATTGAGGGCACAAGGAGAAGGGGATGACAGAGGATGAGATGGTTGGACAGTGTTCTCGAAGCTACCAGCATGGGTTTGACCAAACTGCGGGAGGCAGTGGAAGACAGGAGTGTCTGGCGTGCTCTGGTCCATGGGGTCACGAAGAGTTGGACACGACTAAACGACTAAACAACAACAACAACAACATAATACCAAATGCCTGCCATGGGGAGTGTGGCATAACAGAAAATTCTTCTTCTTCTTTGGCGATCACTCGTAGCTGAGTAAGATTGTCTTCCATAAACACGGTTTTAACAGTGAGTCCGTAAGCGACTGTGGAGGCCAATTCTGGATCCACACATCCTTCAACAGTGGGGACATTGGTTTCCAGGCAGGAGCTGATCGCGGTGTGGAATTGCCAAGCTTGCCTTCCTCCTAGCACGTTTCTCCCTTGCGTCCTGAGTTCGAGTGTCTTCAAAGCCCATGACACCTTTGCTAACAGAAAATTAGAGATAAAGCCACTTCTGACAAGCTTATACTTGCAATAGGAAGTCAGCTATGTCATGCTGTGGATTTTACAAACACTCTGACTCTGGAGTTGCTGGAAATCACAAAAGGGGGGACTGCTCTGGTGCTTGAGTCCTGATTTTGGGATTCCACAGACCCTCCAAGTGTCCCTATTTTCCAGGGACAGTCCTGAATTTACAGAAGCCATCCTGCTTTCAGATATGATCCTGGAATGCCCCCACTTTTCCTTAGGACATCCCTGTTTTCACTGGAGAAATGTTGGAGGCATCTAACGGACCATTCTGAAAACAGGATGCTGAGCCATTGATCTAATCCAGAAGACACTTATTGTGTGCATATGCTCTTGCTGTATATTCTTGTTTATAATTTTCAGCTGATGCACTGTCTTAGTTTCCAAGAGTTGCAATGTGCAAATGTTGCCTTGCTCTTCAGTTGTATGGCACTTATGAGACCGAGGAAGGCGCAACCTGACCTAGGGAACATATGATGCTTGACTGTAAACTTGGGAAATAATGTTAATGCTGAGATCTGAATAACTGCACCTTCATCCGTAACTTTTGCCTTCCACGGTCCTGCCCTAGGGCAGTTGGAAATTGCTCAGCTCCCAGCAAAAGTCTCCGAGACTTTAAGTGTTTCCTCTTAGGCAATTTTCATTTATTGTGTTTATATTTAACAAAGCTAACCCACTTGATTGCATTTCATTGTGAATCACTTGGAAACTGGGACATTGTGTGCTCTGAAGAGGCGCAAAGGACAGGCTGGGTAGGTGGACATTACAAAGGCACAGTGAGTCATATTTCCTGCAGACCAGTAATTGAACGACATTGCCAAAATGACATTTCCTTTCTAAAAATCAGTCTCAGGACCATCTCAATATACAGTGAGGGTTTTTTGGGGGTGGGGCAGGGCTAGGTTGTATGCCTAAGGTAAAGGTAAAGGGACCCCTGACCATTAGGTCCAGTCGTGACTGACTCTGGGGTTGCGGCACTCATCTCGCTTTACTGGCCAAGGGAGCCGGCGTACAGCTTCCGGGTCATGAGGCCAGCATGACTAAGCCGCTTCTGGCGAACCAGAGAAGTGCACGGAAACGCCGTTTACCTTCCTGCCGGAGCGATACCTATTGATCTTCTTGCACTTTGACGTGCTTTTGAACTGCTAGGTTGGCAGGAGCAGGGACCAAACAACGGGAGCTCACCCCGTCGCGGGGATTCGAACCGCCGACCTTCTGATCGGCAAATCCTAGGCTCTGTGGTTTAACCCACAGCACCACCCGCGTCCCAGGTTGTATGCCTAAGACGCTTCTAATTCCTGGATCCGGCAAGGGCTAAAATCTGATGGAGGATTCAATTGCTGGAATAGCCAGGCCAGCTACATGGCAATGGCCCCCTAATATGAGTCGCTAAGGTAACAAAGGAAGCAACTCTGTGCTAGAACACAAATGGGTGCCCGCCCTCAACCCTCAGGTAGTTAGAAGGACAAAAGGCAGAGTTGAGCTAGAAGTTAGAAGCAGGCTGGGCAGTGGAGAGACAGAGTCATGCCTGGTTTCTGCTGGAATCCAAGGCTGTGGCTATGGGATGAGGAAGACCCTCTTGCGGTGTTAATGCTGTAAGCTCCTCCACCGTAAACTCAGGTTGTAAAATAAAGGGTAAAGGGACCCCTAACCATTAGGTCCAGTCGTGGCTGACTCTAGGGTTGTGGCGGTCATCTCGCTTTATTGGCCAAGGGAGCCAGCGTACAGCTTCCGGGTCATGTGGCCAGCATGACTAAGCCGCTTCTGGCGAACCAGAGCAGCACACGGAAATGCCGTTTACCTTCCCACTGGAGCGGTACCTATTTATCTACTTGCACTTTGACGTGCTTTCGAACTGCTAGGTGGGCAGGAGCAGGGACTGAGCAACGGGAGCTCACCCCATTGCAGGGATTCGAACAGCTGACCTTCCGATCGGCAAGCCTTAGGCTCAGTGCTTTAACCCACAGTGCTACCCACGTCCCAGTTGTATGTATGTGCAAACAAATCATATGTCATAAGGACACTGAACCTCATCCCAAGGGGCTTGGGACTCCTGGAGTCTCACACTGCTCGGTGATTGAGGTGACGTGCAACAGTATTTTCCTACGTTGTCACAAATGGGAGTCCATGCTGCCAAGATGTAAATTCTCTTGGAGATTGGGAGTGGAAGAGTTTTTGTTTTGTTTTTAAAGTTTTTATTTGCAATTTCAATATAACAAAATATCAAAAACATATCGTATTAATTATTTCCCCCACCTCCCCAATAAACCCTCCCCCCCCCCACCGAGCATGTAGCATACATGAATAAATTCTTTGTTTTCCTTGGCAAGTCTTGTCCTACAATCCCTAACAGAAATGCTTCTGGTTTTTCTTACAAATGTCATTTTAAACATTTTCTTCAATTCATTATATATCATTTCCCAAAATTTTTTAATTTCTCTACATTCCCACCACATATAATAAAAGGTCCTTTCCTTTTCTTTACATTTCCAACATATGTTTGACCCGGTTTTGTACATTTTTGCTATCTGTACTGGTGTCATATACCATCTATACATCATTTTCATGTAGTTTTCTTTCAAAAGAGAACAGTCTGTAAATTTCAAATCTATTTTCCACAGTTTCCCCCAATCTTCAGATTCTATGTTATGTCCTATATCTTGTGCCCATTTGATCATGACCGATTTCACCTCCTCATCTTTTGTTTCCCATTCTAATCGAATACTATATGCACCCTTCAGCAACTTCACTTTCCCTTCTATGACTAGGAGTGGAAGAGTTTTTGATGGATCTTATAGCAGCACATAGAAGAGTCTACAGGTGTATCTGTGATTTTTAGCAGCAGATGATTAAGTCTTAAGTACATAAAGAAGAACCTTCCTAGATCAGACCCAGAGACCAGTCTGGTCCCACACTTCCCAATCAGATGTCCATAGAAAGCCCACAAGACCCTAAACTTTAGCTGAGGCTCTTATTCCTCATTCTCTCTTTCCGAAAACAACCTGCCTAGGGAGTGCCAGGGCACCACCCCCTGTCTTGAAGTCAGTATGTGACTTCATAATAAGAGTCTGTTGGATAAGGTCATTGACCCATCTAGTCCAGTGCGCAGTTCTCACAGATACCTATGGGAAGCCTGAGCACAACAGGATGCTTGCCTCTTGCCCTTTCCAGCAACTGGCAATCAGAAGCAGATTGCCTCTGTCAGTGGAAGCTGGAACCCAGAGACTTCAATTTCCCTTGGCTTCCAGCTTTCTCTTCCCTCTTTATCTCCTGTTGAATGGATGCTAGCGGTCAGTTCCTTGCTGCCCCACAGTGAAATTAGCATTGTGCTAGCATAGGTGTTTTGATTGGCTTGTGGAGAGAGCGAGAAAGGTATGCAGGACACATCTACTTCAGTTATCTCTCAAGACATGATTTACTGCCAGCCATTGCAGTATTGCAGTAGTGTATGCAGACTTCTTTCACTTCCATCCTCCCCCCACCCCACCCTCGCTAACTTGATGTAATGAGAGCTGGAAATAAACGTTCTCCAAGTTCTGCGCAGAATACATTAAGGAGTCATTTTAATTTGGACAGCGCCTTAAATCAGAAGCAAGGGTTGTTTACTACCAGAGACCTAATTCGCTTCCAGGCCATTTCAGTAAATGCGCATTCAGATTCCACATTTCTTCTTGGTCCTTGCAGCCAGCATCATGATGGGAACCCAAGCCTAGAAAATTGCCCTAAGCTGTGGACGTTTTGCACCGTTAGGGCTATTAAATGTTTTGCTATAATTATATCTTCCTGTGTCTACATTAAAAAAATGTAAACCTGTCATTGCGCAGCTCCCGTTGGAGGATTTGTAATCCCTCATCACTATCCCAGATTAAATGCATGAAGTCAAGGTGGGGTAGGGGAGCAAAAGGGAAGGTGGGTTGCAAAAGAGGCTACAGTGGTACCTCTACTTACAGACACGATCCATTCTGGGGTGCCGTTTGCACCCCAAAAAGTCTGTAAGTAGAGCGCCGCTTCTGCGTGTGCGCATGACGCGATACAGTTCTCCTGCACATGCGTGAAGCACGCAGATTGTTCCTGCACATGTGCAAAGCTGCGAACCCAGAAGTAAACACTTCTGGATTTGCCACGTTTGTAGCCAGAAGAAACACAACGTAAAGCAAACGCAACTCGAGGTATGACTGTATGGCATAGGAGCAAGAAGGGAGGGATACTGAGAGGGGGAAAGCAGTGGTTTAAAATAGTGGAAGAAGTTTGAGATGGGAAAATGGCTGTTTTAAACAGCACCAGAGTTTTGAGTAAAGTACCTTCATACAATGGAATAGCGTTTCCGTGCGCTGCTCTGGTTCGCCAGAAGCGGCTTAGTCATGCTGGCCACATGACCCGGAAGCTGTACGCCGGCTCCCTTGGCCAATAAAGCAAGATGAGCACCGCAACCCTAGAGTCGGTCACCACTGGACCTAATGGTCAGGGGTCCCTTTACCTTTACCTTAGGGACGCGGGTGGCGCTGTGGGTTAAACCTCAGAGCCTAGGACTTGCCGATCAGAAGGTCGGCGGTTCGAATCCCCGTGATGGGGTGAGCTCCCATTGCTCGGTCCCTGCTCCTGCCAACCTAGCAGTTCGAAAGCATGTCAAAGTGCAAGTAGATAAATCGGTACCGCTCTGGCAGGAAGGTAAACGGCATTTCCGTGCACTGCTCTGGTTTGCCAGAAGCGGCTTAGTCATGCTGGCCACATGACCCGGAAGCTGTACGCCGGCTCCCTCGGCCAATAAAGCAAGATGAGCGCTGCAACCCTAGAGTCGGTCACGACTGGACCTAATGGTCAGGGGTCCCTTTACCTTTACCTTTACCTTTACCTTCATACACTGGAATAACTGAGGACTGCCCACCATTTATCTCTCTCACACAAGGCAGCTGGAATTGGGAGAAGTTTGAGTACAGCGAGAAGGTAGCGACACTGAAAGGAAAACAGTTGTTTTAAACAATGGCAGAAGTTTGAGTAAAGTGGGCGTGGGGTGATGCAGAAGAAAATGGTGGTTTTAAACAGCAAAGGTCTGAATAAAAGCTGCAGAATTGCTAAATAGAAGCATGCACACATCTCCGCTAGTTTTCTAGCAACAATAAGGATGGTAGGCTCAACCCCATCCACCCACCGAAATGAAAAATGATGAACAGTGTCTAAAGCAACTTGTGAAGGGGGGGGGGTGTTGTGACAGTGGATGGACTTTTGAGAAATTGGTTTTAGAGCAGCACTAGTTTGAAGTGGATTCAGCAGTAAATATCCTCTTGATCTGCTTTTGTCAGTATGATGCTAGCTTCCAGCTGTGTGACTCTGCAAGAATCCCTGCTTTCTGGAACAGCAAGTTCTTTACAACATGGATGATAATGAATCATCTAGGAGAGATTTCAACAAAACCTTCATTTCCCTCACCTCTCCCTCCACATAAACACTTCATTGCTAGTCACAGAGGGGATGGCAGGCTTTCGATAGGCTTAAAAAATTATATCTGTTCATTAGATACTGTTGCAGTTTTTTCACAATTGGCATAATGCTGATTCTATCAAGACTTGACAACAAATCCCCTGTTGATATTAATAGCTTGGGATGAGAAAGTGCAGCAATCTGTGGTTTTCTTTTACTCTGTACATTTCCATCTGCCAAATACAGGGGTACCTCTGGTTACGAACTTAATTTGTTCTGGAGGTCCGTTCTTAACCTAAATCCATTCTTAACCTGAGGTACCACTTTACCTAATGGGGTCTCCCACTGCCGCCGGGCCGCCGACACGCTATTTCTGTTCTCATCCTGAGGTAAAGTTCTTAACCCGAGGTACTACTTCTGGGTTAGCAGAGTCTGTAACCCGAGGTGTTTGTAACCCGAGGTTCCACTGTACGTTTCTGGCCAGTTGAAGAGAGCATCACTCATCTTTGCATGTAACTTCATCTAAAGCTTCTTGCATACGTCATTGGGGTCAGAATGGACTGTAGCCTCTTAGGAAATGTCTTGAGATCAATATAAGAGACCGGGTGGAAAATGCAGCCTAGTGACTGTGAAAACGGCAAGATCAGTGTTGAAGCATTGCTAGGGACCGAGATTAAAGCAGCAAGTGTGGTAATTAGGCTTGCACCTCAGGTGTGGTGTAGTGGTTAAGAGCGGTAGTCTCGAAATCTGGGGAACCGGGTTCGTGTCTCCGCTCCACCACATGCAGCTGCTGGGTGACCTTGGGCTAGTCACACTTCTCTGAAGTCTCTCAGCCTCACTCACCTCACAGAGTGTTTGTTGTGGGGGAGGAAGGGAAAGGAGATTGTTAGCCACTTTGAGACTCCTTAAAGGGAGTGAAAGGCAGGATATCAAATCCAAACTCCTCTTCTTCTTCTTCTTCTTCTTCTTCACTAATGTTAATTTTAAGGTACATTTTCAGGCCAACCAAAATACTGTATTTTTTATAATAAAAAACCCCCACCCCGAACTTAAACCATATAAATCATTTCTATGCCTGATGTGCAGTTATTCTGTGGCTGTTGTTGCTGTTGTTGTTGTTGTTGTCTGTGGGGGAGAAGAATCTGTCGGGGGAATAGTCACATTTATGATCCCAGCCAATCACAGATCATGTCACATTATGATGCCGTGTAGTCAATCAGATGTGGCTTTATGATGTCACAAAGCCATCTGTGGGTTGCCCTCACTCTGACTGGGTAATACTTTTGCTCCCTCTATATAAAAACAATCACACACTTTCTGCTTTTTGCAGCCAAGATCTGCAGAACCTCACACAAGGAGAACTATGCTTGGGGAAATAACTGCCTGTGCTATATAACATACTGCCCGTGAAACCTATGGGACTTTAAAAAGCAGTTTGTGAGGCAGCATTGGGGGGGGGGCGTGTCTGATGTTCAAATAAATACCGTATTTTTTGCTCTATAAGACTCACCTTTTCCCTCCTAAAAAGTAAGGGGAAGTGTGTCTGCATCTTATGGGGCGAATGCAGGCTGCACAGCTATCCCAGAACAGCAAGAGGGATTGCTGCTTTCACTGCACAGCGATCCCTCTTGCTGTTCTGGCTTCTGAGATTCAGAATATTTGTTTTCTTGTTTTCCTCCTCCAAAAGCTAGGTGCATCTTGTGGTCTGGTGCGTCTTATAGAGCGAAAAATGCGGTAATTGCTTTTCTTTCCATTGATTTATCCATCTGTCATTGGATTTCTATATCCACATGGCTATGCTGTTTGGTTACAGCTAAAATAGATCTTCGGATCTGAAACCATGTTTTATCTACCCATTTCATTTTGTGCATAGAGGCAAAGGTGAGGGAGGAAGGTGGCTAGGAGTTTAGCCTGTTCTGCAAGAATGCCTTGTGAAAGGAGCGACGGGGGAGACATGCTTGAAGGCTCCTTGAAGATGTATTTGATAGCATAAATACATTAACAGGTGCTTTTTAAGTATTCTCCTCAGCGGAATACATTATGGATATGACATTGCATGTAACCTATTAAGATATTCCCGAAAGTTCTTCTTTTCAGCTGGATGCACAATTTGACATTGACTACAGAATGAAATTACCATTTCTCTCTCTCTGTGTGTATATATGTATGTGGGTATATAATATTCCTGCCGGTTTCTCCTCCGTGAAAGTTCTAGGCTAGCGAGTTGACAGTTTGAGTACATGTCACACAAATCTTTTACCCCACAAAAAAAATCAGCCAAGGACAAGTGCTGGAGTGTCTTATCCATGCTAATTTGATTTTTAAATTGCCCTGTGTATCCATCTGCACTTTGTAGGAAGGCAGTGTATTTATATACGTATGCGATTTGTAAAAAGTTTGTTCGGAAAAGCAACTAGGCGAGTGTCTTGTGGGAGATATTTAGGAAATATATTTGGGACTTGGAATAGCTCCTGGAAGACAGTGAGGCACAGCCAAAGATAAGACCCCGAGTGAGCAACGGTGCACAAATAAAGGAAGGTGGGGGTGGAGAAGAAGAAGAAGAAGAAGAAGAAGAAGAAGAAGAAGAAGAAGAAGAACCAAACTTAACCAATAAATTGAATGAAGAGAGAGTGGGACTCTCATGCAAGATAAAGAGTTTATAAGCTTAGGAAAACTTAATTTGTTTTTTCCCCCATTTAAAGATTGAGAGATGAGGGTACGGTGTGAGAAAATAAGAAAAGGGAGAAAAGAATAGGAGACACTAATCGAAGAACGCCTAGTGTGCTGTTTCTACCCTTCAATTTAAAATGGTCTTCTGAACTCCCATAATATATTGTTGAATGTCACCCCAATCTCTGAGCAGTGTGAGAGCTCAGGGGCTCCAGGTCCTTACCCTGGGCTTAGTTTCCTTGGAATGAGGAACAGCAGAGACTGTGGATATATGGTTCATTTATACATATATACAACCTGGACAGGTTCACAGCATTAACATCCCAAGAGGAGCCAGGTGAGGGAGGCGGGTTGGCTGCTAATTTGCACACACACCTCCGGCATGAAACAACTTCCTTTCTGATCCTAAAGATCCATACTTAGGGCCATTACCCAAGAAGCTGGCCTGGCTACTTCAACAATGGAAATGGGATGTTCTTAGCAGCCAGCAGAAGCACGCAGCCATCTCTACCTGACTGATCTCCAGAAGTAAACGGTTCTACATTTTACATCTGGAGAAATCTTTGAGAAAAGCTTTGGAGTGGTGAGCCATGTTATGACCCTGCTATCTTGGAACAGATGGGCAGGCGGCAAACATTGGTGTGTCTCTCACTTCTGTATGGTAGATTCTGTTCCCTTTGTTTCTTGGTTTATCATTGTGATGGTGTTCAACCTCCTTTTATAACTGTATTATTAGATTGCTGTAACCCACCCTGGGGCCTTGTGGTGAAGGGCAGGTAGGAAATCTCTCTCTCTCTCTCTCTCTCTCTCTCTATATATATATATATATAGTGGTACATCGGGTTAAGAATTTAATTCGTTCTGGAGGTCCGTTCTTAACCTGAAACTGTTCTTAACCTGAAGCACCACTTTAGCTAAGGGGGCCTCCCACTGTCGCCGTGCGATTTCTGTTCTCATCCTGAAGCAAAGTTCTTAACCGAGGTACTATTTCTGGGTTAGTGGAGTCTGTAACCTGAAGCGTCTGTAACCCGTAGTGTATGTAACCCGAGGTACCACTATATATATATATATATATATATATATATGCCAGCTATGTAGAAGTAAAATCTTTCTACAGCCTTACTTCCAACTTTCCATTCAGCAAGAAAGAGGCATTAGTAGAGTTCAAGGATGCAATCCAGTTAGGTTAAAGTTATTGGTGTGTGTGTGCACACGCACACATGCGTAGACTCACCAGCGTGCACAGACGATTGGGGGAGGGGTGGCAGCATGTCAAACATGTGGCATTGATGTCAGGATATCAGGAGGCGCTGGGGTGGAGCAAAGTGCAGCAGCCTTGCAGTTTCAATGGCGGGTGACTCCTCCTCCTTGCACCACCTACAATGGGAGTCTTATTCGACCCTCCCTCCCCTGTGTGGCAGGAGGAGGAGGAGGAGCCGGCTACGGGAGCCATGCTGTGCTTGGCTCCATGCTTCACCTCTGTGCTTTTTAGACATGGGGGCTGGCCCCTACATCAGTAATATTTGGGGGGCCCCAAAGGGCTCGGCCCCAGGAGCTGGAGCCCCTGTGCGTGTGTGAGAGAGAGCACACACACAGCAGGCCTGGTGAGAGGTGTGGACTGAGGAGAATGGGTGGTCTCCATCCCTGGATTACGTGATGATTTCTACTGTGTTTTAAGGGAATATATCTGTCTAATGAATCAAAACATAACATATAACATATACCATGTATTAACATATCACAGTAATGAAACAATTGGGCTGATGTTTTATTTCATTCTGAATTTCTTTTGGGGTCTTATCATATGGACGGCAACAATGAAGTTATAGAACAGCCTCTCCCAACTTATATATTAATTAAACAAATGTATAGACCACTTTGCAGCATAAAGCCATCCAAGTGGTGTTCACAGTGCCTTACAGGTGGTGTAGAATGCAGCTCCCATCATCCCAGACTATTGACCATGCTGGAAAGGACAAATGGGTCTTGTAGTCCAGAACATCTGGAAAAGGCACCAGAGCCATTAATTCTTTGCTGAGTTCTCTTTCCGGTGCCATCTGCCTGCACTGAATTAAGATAGGTGTAGAAGAAGAAGCTTAGTTTATATGGTGGAAATATGAATGGCATGAGCTTAACAATGGAGGGAAAGAGTACCGTAATCCCTCCTTACTTTTCAGAATGCAGAGGACTAGTGAAAGGTCAGCTTATGCATCAGCCATAATGGCATAGAATCTGTTCTGGATATGTGCTTCTTCAGCAGCCCAAATCTAATAGGATTTGCATAAATTCATATTTAAAAGCCGCCACCCCCCAAAAAACACTGATTTATGTGCTACAAGTTTCCTGAAGTCAACTTTCAGATGACCTGTGTAAGTTGTACAACATTGTGCCAGAGGTATGGTCCCCCTTATTTGCAGTAAGGATTGTTGTGAATATGATTTTATTCTTAAGTTTGCAGTTGGTTGAGGGGGGAGATCCTGTAGTGCATGAATAAAGAGACTATTGGACCACAGAAGTCTTAACTGTGAATAGAAGGTGAAGGCCAGAGGAGATAGGACTCCTATGCTGGACAGTGCGTAAATAGTGGTATAGCTGAGATGGCAAACTTAAAATATGGGCTGCCAAATGTTGTGGTGTTCCAATTCCCATCAGCCTCAGCCAGCTTGGTATTCCCAAGGATGATGGGAACAGCAACATCTGTCCAGCAACATCTGGGGGACCAAAGGTTTAAGGAGGCAGGGAAATAACTAACTAATGCTCTCTTGTTTAGTCAACTGGGAGAAGATGATTCCTTGCCACAGCAGATCAACCTAATAACTGATAACTGTTGTTAATCATACTCAAGGTAGAGTCATTGAAAACAATGAACTAAACTACATGTTGTGTCCTCCCTATCTTGTCCACATTTTATCTTCACAACAACCTTGTGTGGTGGGTTAGATTGTTCTTGTCCACAACCACCCCTTCGCAAGTTTCTTGGCTGATTTGGGATTTGAACCCAAAGTCTCTACGGTTGTTTCGCAGCACTTCTGTCTGCTAATGCACACTTGCAAAGTGATGCTGAAGAAAAGGACACTGTTATGTTTTATAGTTGTGTGAAATTGTTTAAAATAAAGGATCTGCTTTTGAAGCTGTGCTGCTTCCTTCTCATTGGTTCGTTGGTTTTGGTTTTTTTTAAGCTGCTAAAGCTCAGTATCAAGATTGAAATTGATTAACAATTCTACAAATTTTACCCAGCAGCTATAATCATTAGTTGCCTTAGCAACCTGCTTGCTGAGATCACAGGGCACATTAGAACGTGTGTGTGTGTGTGTGTGTGTGTGTGTGTGTGTGTGTGTGATGAGATTTAGATAGGAGTGATGATTACAGTGATGATCAGGCACTTGTCCATGAGAGAGTCCTCTTAGACATACTCCGGATGTCCCTATTTGATGAAAGCTCCTTTGGGACATCATTGTCTCAATTTCAT